GAAAAAATGTGTTGTACATCTTCCAGACGGCACACAACAACCATACGAGCTGAACCTAACCAAAATTGAAATACATCACCAAATTTATCTTGAAACTGTCGTAGTACATTAGGGAGTGGTTCGCCTCGCCAGATAACTCCAGTTTGTTGTAAATTGCCGAAGAGAAATTGTGGTGCCACACCAGGTAATGATCCACGTAAGGTGAAGTACGCACTTTTGAGATAAACATACACGATTATTAGACATAGCAGAGCAACAAGCATCAATATTAGTAACATTTTCCCTCTCGTGTTGTTGTTGTTGTTTTATAAAGCACGCATGTGTTCGAAATCAAAAGTAAATATGTGAGACGACAAGGTCGCATGAGACGGCTTTTCATCGTTTCTCTTTCTTGTTTCTGTATCGGCGGCTACATAAGATTGACTCATTTATGTACAAAGTGAGATAAAAGAAATGACTTTCCCTTTCGCTAGCACGTTGTAAACACTTACAGTAGCAAGATAATTGAGAATTTTTAAAAATTTACGAAAAAAAAATAAGGTGAAAAAATAAACTATTAATTATCTATATAGAAATATAATATTTAAGTAAATGAACGACTTAATATTGAAATATAAAACCTTTTATTATTAACAGCAGTGAAATATTTTGTAATTGACACTATCAGCCAAGAAAGACTATCGAAAATGACAAAATTTACTTTTACAGAAAAATTGCAAAAGTAAATTCTGTATAGACTATCTTTTATGATGGAACTAACTGATATTGTGCAATTACATTGGCACTATTACATAGTGAGGTATATACCACGACCATTGAATGATTTTCGTTCTTCGTATAGTATACATATAGGCTGTTTAAAACTAGCAAACTATTGTTTTTACTATACGATGACATCATTATACATTCTTTTCTTTTTATCTTCGATTTATACGAAATATGTCGAAAATAATTCTTTACTTAGTATCGAAATGCGTCCATATATGCTGTCATAGTTATTTTTGAAATATAATATATAAATAAATGAACGACTTAGTATTGAAATATAAAACCTTTTATTATCAACAGCAGTGAAATATTTTGTAATTGACACTATCAGCCAAGAAAGACTATCGAAAATGACAAAATTTACTTTTGAAAGCTATTTGCGAGGGTGTGGGTGTGGGTGTGGGTGTGTGGGTGTGGGTGTGGGTGTGGGTGTGTGGGTGTGGGTGTGGGTGTGGGTGTGTGGGTGTGGATGTGGGTGTGGGTGTGGGTGGATGTGGGTGGGTGGGTGTGGGTGTGGGTGTGGGTGTGGGTATGGGTGTCGGTATGGGCTTTGGTATGCGCATGAGAGTGATTCTGATACTCATCAACACCCACACCCACACCCACCCTTCTGCAATGAATTACTTCCAGTCGCTATCCCTTTTTCTTTTTCTTTTTTAATTGTTACTTTATATTTTACTTTTCTGCTCGAAACAAAGATGCTTATTCAGATTGCTGCACTGAAAAAAATATTCTACCATGATAGAGTGTTTAGAGAACGATTGAACCTAATCACATAATTAAATTAAATCCTATTCAAAAATATAGAAATAGTCAATAAGTAGTGGTAATAGCATAGTTCGAATTTTCTTTTGTCAAATAGCAATATTCTCGATTAATACTTTTATCGGTAGATGTTAACTAGAAATTGTGAAATCTTTTGAATATTAAAATTTTAGAGAGAGAGAGTAGCAAATGATATTTAAATTCATTTAATAAACAATGTAGAACATTGAAAAAAAGTACTTTTCCATATTTTGTCTGATATCTCTTCTTTTTTTTCTATTAGTTCACAAAACTTATCAAGAAACATTGATAAACAAATTTTGAATTTGAATAAATTCTCTGCATTGAAATTCTTTTCTATTAGAATAGAAATTAATCTCAATGACAAATGAAAACATGTAATTATGAGATCTTTTTATGGAATGATTTTTAACCCGCGGATGCCCAAGCGGGGTCCAAATGGATCCCAGAATAGAAAATAGACATTTAACAAAAATATCTCGGTACTTTTACTATTTTTAAATATATCTCTCTCAATCAGGTCATGAGAATGTTTTCTCTTTTCTTTTGGTATTGTTATTATCACAGCGTCATTGTGAACAGTACCATATAACAATCATACATCTTTCTTCTCTGTTGTTCTGTTGATATTCATCGATGGCACGCATCTATTTTCACTATCTCTTTTCGATCTTTTCTAGGGTGTGGGTGTGGGGTGTGATTTTTCTCTTTGATTCAACCCACACCCACACTCACACCCATACCCACACCCCACACCCACACCCCACACACCCCACACTCCACATCCACACCCAACCCACACCCACATCCACACCCACATCCCACATCCACACCCACACCCACACCCCGCACCCTCAGTCCTTCTAATATATCATTGGGTATACAGATATTAGAATTTTTTCTAATGCTGACATCATTATATCTTCGAAATTCTTTCCTCTTCCTATCATCCTTTCAATAGACCTTCCTATTTCATAATGACGTAATATGAGGAAAGTCTCTTAGTATTTTCATGCAGAGAAAAAAAAACCGTGCATTATAGAACTGCACCTACTTGTACATTACCAATCTTAATCGGTTGTAGAGGAAACATATAATGACTTATAATCTAAAAGAATTTAATAAATGTTAAGCGACAGATGACTAGACTTAGAGATGCTATAATTATGACAATTCGAACCAATGGATTAGGTGATAGAAGAATGTGAACAATGGCTCACATGTTTCTATGGTTTTAGCTTTAAGCAATCATCGAGTACAAGAGAAACACACTTAAAGAGCCCTACTTTTATCATTTTTTCTTTCAACATTTTACTCTTCTTTTGTTTTTTGCACATTGAATTAATAATATCACAAATTAGAAAATGTTGTGATAACATATGTGAATACAACATTATATAATAGAAGAGTAACAAAGATGGAGAGAGGGTGTGAGTGTGGGTGTGGATGTGGAGTGTGAGGTGGGGGGTGTGGGTGTGGGGTGTGGGTGTAGTTATTCTTTTAACTGAGAACCACACCCACACCCACACCCACAGTCCACCCACACCCACACCCCCCCCCCCCCCACCCACACCCACCCAGACCCACACCCACACTCACACCCTCACCCTCTTTTGACTTTGATAGAAACGAGTTTTTATCTGTTCAGTTAGTCCATAATATACATAAGTATATAAAGATAATCGGATGCAAGAGAAACCAATGTCATATTGATTTGACCACATAATTGTCAAGTATTTGTTGAAATTCATAATATTATGTCATGTCAAAATACGAAGAAGAGCTCTGAAAACAAAAACGAGAATAATAGTTTTTAAATCATAAGTAAAATCATTTCGAATACTTACGCACTAAAAGTTTCATCTCGTGTTCCATTAACTGATAATAAAACATCATTCTATCGTGTTAATATAGCATCTTCAGTTAAATTTTGTACAAGATATCGAAGTATTATATTTATATTGATTAACTATCGATTTGTAGATTGACAATTGACATTCTAAAAAAAAATTTTGAACTACAGGAAAATTTTATTAATAAAAACAACGGACATATCTATTTTCTAATGCTCGAAAAGCAACAACAAATGGATCAATTGATCGTAATGCAACTGATAACACAACATCAAATAGTGTTAAGTGTGTGGAATAAATATCCAAAAGTGATTGATCCTATTTGAACAGAAAAATAACCTGAGATAAACCAGTAGTAACATGTGATTGTAAATGAACAAGAAGTACATCGACAATTTATCGTGAAAGACGTTTCCATTTATCATCTTCAATTTGAACACTATTAACAATAACTGTTAACAGTCGTAAAGCCTATAACAATATAAATTCTATTATTATTTTTTCAGTACATACACATGACATGAAAAGATACTTTTATTTATAATAATTACGACGCCTAGTTTTCCTTCAAACTCAAATACATAACAACAAGATGATTATTTTCATATCATCGATTCATTAAGATGTGGGTGTGGGTTCAATCGAGGAGAAAAATTACATCTATACACCCACACTCACACCCTCTCGAGTTTCTAAGATATTTGAGACTTTATAGAAGGACACTTTTTGTTCACTCTCATTTAATAAAACTTTTTAGGAATTTTAATTATTCGCATAACTCGAACAAGAAAAAAATCATATACAACTGGTTTTAATGCTGCTACGGCAAAATAAAGAATTTTAACGATAATTTATTTTTCTCGAAAATGTTTTTTTTTGCTTCCTACCATGTGTTTCACGTTCATGTTCACTTGCTAATAATTAATCATAATGTTTTATTAAATCTTGTATTTTAATAACTTGTTTTGAATGAAGTGTATCATGTGATAACATAACAAGAAATTCAGCAATACAATAAATAAAATGCTATTTAAAAATAAACGAAACGATTAGAAATGCAACGGATTTCATCAGCTTCTAATTAACTATTATTAACACGAATTAAAAGTAATTGAACAAGTAAATCGAGTACAGCAGCTTGAAAATCACTTTCATTTGTATTAATATATATTTTAAGACTATTTTTTTTTAGTTCAATAAAAACTATAAAATAGAAAACAAAAAAAAACAGACAGAATAAATCAAATTCGTTTTCTTTTGTTTATTTTACTGTCTTATTGCACTATTTTCTATGGATTGATCACTATTTATACTTGATGCATAACATGAACCAAATAAAATAAATTATCGGTTGTTGAATATTTATTGTATGAATATAAGTTAAAGAATAATTTAATGATACTTGTGAAGAAACATTTGAAGATTTTTTTTCAGCATACAATGATGAAACGATGACTAGTTCATGAAGATTTAATAAAAACTAAATTAAAAGAATATTTTTAAATGAATGTTGTGGTAACAGAAAAAATGATTTTCAAATTTCGAATTGATAGCGTGTCTTGCAGATCGCTCACATAAACTGGATGATTTAGTATTCGAATTTCAAGATAGAACCGAATCAAAAGATCTGACACTTTCACAACAAAACTACTCTCGTTAAGATCATCGATATTCGTAAAATCAGTTTTTCTGTTACTATGACCAGACGTGCAGAATCTGTATGTGTGCGCGCACGCGCGTGCGGGGAAATTTTTGAAAAATTATTGACTGCAGTAAAAATTTTAGGAAATTATTGGCTCTAGGAAAATTCCTGAGGAAAATTAGGGAAATTTTTTTTGTACGAATTATAGTATGAATTTGAAGCACAGATTCTAAAATTTGCTTTTAGTAGAGAACAATTAGTATGACTAATTTTCTTTTGATTCTTTTAACATTCGAATTCAGCGTATTATTCTTTCGACGTGTACATCTCATATATCACATCTTGTTTTACTTTGTTGTGTTCTTCAAATGTGGGTGTTATCAAAGAAATTCGTCCAACTAAGGTTACAGTTAAAACTAGCTTTTGTTTTTTTTTTTCTTTATTATACACACGCCATGCACTAATAAACACACATTTATATTTTCATCGGGAAATATCCCCACTACGTAGCAGATCAAAGAAGAAAAGAGAAAAGAAAAAAGAATTTAGCTGATAAATTTATTGAACAATCAATAGATGATTATTTTATAAACAAAAAGGACAAAACTTGGTTATTTTACAGGAAAAGTGAACAATATCAACCATGGAGATTATTATCTCCTGGTTCACTCGTGTTGAATCGTTTCCGAAGTGAACAAGTACCAAGATTACCAGAATTAATTGACGATTGATAAAAATCATTTTTTTTAAATAACCTTCTTTCTAGTTGGTGCTAGCACTATTTCTGTTTTATTGTTTTTTTTACATATTTAGTTAAAGATTTGGTTGGGAAAAGATAATTTCTTCTATTTTCATAGTGGGGAAATTTTTGGAGAGTTATTTTGCGTGCGGGGAAATTTTTTAATTTTACGGCAGATTCTGCACCTCTGACTATGACATTCTTATATTGAAATTTTCCTTCGCTAGGAAAGACCCTTTCAGAAACCTTCATTATAAGATTTCCATCTGAAGTTTTATCCATAGACAAGTTTCAGACACAATACAACATCCTAAAGGTTTTAGCTTAACCAATAAATAAAGAAGATTAATAATTGAAATTTTCTTTACAATAAATACGGCTTGTCCACGTAACGGTATACCTTGGTGGGCGAAGTCGACCTACCAAATTGATCGAAATCAATATGATCATCATATAGAGCGATGTCGATAACATGCAGAAATATATCTTTTATTTACGTGGTTACGATATTTCTTTAAAAAATACATGCTACAAATGATATGTGTCGTAATAGCACTAAAGGCGAATATTTATGATAGATTTTTATTTTAGAATTTTTTATATAAACAAACATATCTTGTCCGAAACCTTTCATACCAACTAGTAATGCTTTCTATGCATTACTCATTTATAACGAGAAGACTACGTTTCGTCACATCTTCAGCAGAATTATTTATGTTCGTAAAGGTAACACATTGGTGAAAGTGATTCCGTAACGAAAATTCCTGTTAATTCATTTTTAGCCAAGAACACTAAGTTTTTCATTCTAAAAAGCAGTGCTCTAAATACAATCTTTAGTGCTCTATCCAACCAATGGATTGCCTGTTTTTATAAACATTCTAGTTGTGCAAGCAGGCCGTTACGGAATCACCCTCAAATGATCAAGTTTTCTACATAAAATTTGAAAACATTAACTTTCTCTGAAGTTATGCACTAATGAGACGTCAAGATGTGTACACGTGATTGTAGAGTCCGATTAGTTAATTTAGGAGTTGTGCTATGGTAGTTTCCAGCTAAATTTATTACGTGGATTCAAGAAGCCATTTAAGAGGCATTGTGCATGAGTGATGACCATTCCCCAGCAGAATCTTGCTTGGTCAATGTCACCGATTGGGCCGATATTTTCACAGTAAGTAGGTCTAGTAAACTTGGCAAGAAACTAAAAATTTCATTTCAAATGAGAGAGTCATTATGGAGATATTGAAATTAAATTGGAGATATTTTGGCATGTATGTTGTGTTTTCCAGAGAATGCTTTTCAATAAAGTTTGATCTCCTATAAAAACAATAAGAGCTATAATGAGAATTTCTTTAGAACAGATACTTTCGATCATTAGATATTATGGCATATAGTTCTGACTCACAAGTGATCTACCACCAAGAAACATTCTCTTTTAAATATGTGTAAAAAATTAGATGAATCGAATATCACTTTATCAGATTTGGAAAAGTACATCGGCCTTCATGTGTCACAATAATGTCGAAATGAGTCGAAATTTGGGCTGTGGAAGTTTATCGAGATGCCGGTTCATTTGAATCACATCAATCTAGCATCTGGGAATAAATCGTTAATCTATACTATTAGAGTCATTTGTGTTCTTAGTCTTGTTCAAAAAAACTTTGTATATCGAACTGGACATGCCTTCTATAAATGGCATATGGCATCTATCAAAAAATATTAGTTGATACGATCCTCTCAATACCATAAAATGATAGGATATGGTCCGTAGTACCTATGATAAAAAATCTGTATTATAACTGTTGTTGTTATTTAGAAAACCAAAGTTTACTGGAAAGTATTGCTCTGAAAATCACTATAAATGTGTCAAAGTATCTCTAATTGTGACGTCTACATCTCTATAATGACTCACTCGTTTAGGATGAAATTTGTAGTTTCTTTCTATGTTTACTAAGTCTACCTACTATGAGAATATCAATCAGATTGATGACATCGAATGAGTAAACTTTTACTGGAATTGGCTGTGCCTAGGATGCAATACTTCTATAAATGTCAATATTTTATATATAACTGACCCTTTCGAAAAGACCTTTTACTTTATGAGAAAGATGAACTTTTCAAATTGCTTTTTCATGCATGACATCAGATTGTTTATTCTGTGGAACTATCTTTATATTTCTGAAGAAAACAAATGTTGAAAAACATCATCATTTCTCAAACGTGATTCCGTAACGAAAAATGTGATTCCGTAACGACACCTTTTTCTACCCAGAAAATTAGCGATACGTATTTTGTAAATTATATTTGTTTTTCTATATAACTAGGCTTCTGAGCTACAATTGTCATAGAGAGAGTTTTGCTCCTGCGTTTATAGTTGAGCTAAGTTTTTTAATTCTTTGAGCGGCACTCAAAATCAGAGTCCATTTTGTGTGATTCCGTAACGTACATATCTGTCAATCATAAAACCAGCATTCAAACTTGAAATCTTATGAAACTTTCAGCATGTGTAGGGGAAGTCAACTTACATAGTCTATGAACATTTCCAGCCCTATACTATTTCATTTCGTCCAGATATTGTAAAAACATGCGAAAAAAACGTGATTCCGTAACGCTTGGACAAGCCGTGAAAAGATTAAACTATTAAGATCATGCAATATAAAGGGATGTTTAAAGAAATTTATAAATAAACGAAGTTCATCACATTGATTACGAAAAAATTGATCGAATTGTTGTTGATCTTAAAACATTTGAAAGGACATAAATATCTTCTAAACATCCAACCTATATAAAAGACAAAAATAACAAACAATTTGTATTCGAGTTGATGCTTAAATATGTAATGAATGATGAATTTTATATATCCATTGACATGGTGAAAATGAATTGTGATCAACAAAACCTTAAAATCACAAAGTAGCTAATAACTAACTTAATTCAATAAAATCGACTTATGCATTCAAATTCGAAAAAAAGCTACCTAGTTAATATCTCTACAAAATACATACTTAGTAAAAGTCGAAGCAATTGCTTGACGAACACGTATATCAGGGTACTGTTGTTTTAATTGTTGTTCAAGATAAGTTAATATTCGAAAATCAATATCATCTATAAATTGAGCTAGACTAACCTATTTTATATACATACAAAAAAAAATTATTATAATCATAAATTTCTTTTATCTACTTGAGCAAAAGTACAGGAACTTGTAGTATGTTGAATAGAATCTTCTAATAATTTAATTCCTATGATTGTAAATGCATGACTTTTAATTAATAAAAAAGGTAATAATGTTCGTAAAGCATTTAGTGAAAAATGTATAACACGTGCATTATTATCATTAAGACATATAACCTTGAACTGTCTTTTGAATCAGTTGATACAAGTGAACATTGATTAATAAAAGAATTTGATAATGATGATAGTGTTAAAAGATGAATTGTTGTTTGAATTAATGTAACAACTAAATTTGCACATGCACCACGTAAATGTAGATCACTGTGTTCACATAAAGATAAAAGATATGTAATATCTTAAAGAAAAGAAAAAATAGATACCTTGATGTTCGATAAATTTTAATGTATTTCAAGTCATATAGAGATGAGAATTTCATTTTTCTCATTAGGAAATTTCATATCAATTACAAATTAGATTTAATCAGAAATCTTCAAAGACTAATGAAAAACTCCTTAGAGGATACAATTAATTTCATATCTCGAACTTCGGCTTAGAACTTTTTTGAGGTAGTTATGTGATTGTATAATGTCAATCTCTGATGTATTGATGCAGGCTTTGAGCTTCAATAAAGTGTTCTACTTGACATCTTTTCGAGTCTGATAATGTTCTAGTCTTTTGTTGGTTTCAAAAAAATTAAAAATAGGAATAGGACTAGAGTTGCTGAATCAATATTCAGAAATCCCCGTTCTTGAATTTTCAGATTCCAATATATATATATATGTTTCAACAATTTAATAGTGAAATTGTCATATCTATCAGATAACTTTCACTAAAACTTTGAGATCTTAACCAATTGAAGCCACGTCAACTAAACTCTGCCACAATCCCCTTCACCTAAGCCTTTCTACTGTTATGACATCAGAAATTATTTTGGATTATAAAATAAATCTATTTTACTCAAGTGAAACTTTACAAAAAGAAGCCTCAAACAAGCATTAAACATACTTTCGATAAGGTAATCAAATCGACCAAATTGTTGATAAATACGATAGACACATTAGTATAGCACATTTAACACTAATACATAATTCATCATCACTTTTTATCGTACCATCCATATTAAGTATATATCTAATTGGAAAATAATATAATTGATTAACAAGTTTAGCATCTTATCGTTCGTTTTTCATTATTAATCATTGATGTTGAATCGAATTTATCATTCATTTCAATAAATCAACGTTGATATGTTGAATAAGCTATTGTTTTAGAAAAAAAAACCCAAATAAAAAAACTCGTTTCTTCTATAGATCCAATTTGGGTTGAAATTAATAATTGATCAAAATCAAATAAATTTGAATAACGAAGTAATTGAATAATTTTTTTTATTAAATCAAGATAATCAATTATTAAATGTGTACTAGCATTTTGATTTTGATGTTCAAGTAATTGATCTATTAAAATAAAAGACAATTATAATGAATTGAAATTATTATTTGAAATAAAACTTACCAATTACATTTGTCATTGAAAAACGTGCCATAACCATGGGATAACATATTTGCCGAATAGGGCATGAGAAGTTTCTAAGAATAATTTAGTCATTGATTATATATTTCAAAAGAAAATTATTTATTGTTAATATTAGGAAAAAAAAGAAAAATTCGTTCTCATTCAACTTCATACTTTAACTATAACGATAGCCAGTGAACTCCTATGACTCAACCATTCTTAAGTTGCATGAAACTACGCTCGATTACTTTCGAGGGCGGATCGCTTCAAATGATAGACAGTTTCTCAGTCCGTATTTCGTCAAATAATATCAGACTACCTATTCTACATTTTCTGAAAAACATTCTCTCGTGCTAGAAGTTTTAACCGAAACATGGTGGAGCAATTCTTTTCCATGTTTCTATTCAACCGTATGACATTTTTCTGATTACTTCTTTAAAAAACTTGTCTTAGATGACAAAGATTTTCGTTTTACTTACTTTAATTTCTTTATCATTAATCGGTCGACCAAGACTACGAAAAATAAGTTCATAATATTCTGATAAAATGGTTGAATCTTTTTCGGATGTGTTACATTTACTAATTCGGCAAATCACCACAGAACACCTAATCGAAATTAAAAAAAAATCCTTATTATAAATTTATGTCAAATAATAAAAATAACCTTTTAAAGCATTTGGATCAAGATTAGGATTATGTTTTATAATTCGATATAATTCAACTTGAATTCTTGTTAAATCTGCTTCTTTTAAATCCTGTTTTATAATTCATACAAAATTATACAGAAAAAAAGAATTTCTTTTATAATACTTTAACAAATTTATCAAAATTTTCTTCAGCAGTCAATCGTACATTAGAATCATTTTCATCACATGTTGTAAATAATGTTTCCACGCTAGCTTTAATTAATTTAAAATAATTTTCATTGTTATCTAAAAACATTCTATAAGAGATACAAATAAAATGAAAAACAGAAAAAAATCCACTTATTTACTGGATTATTCATATTTTTGATGCTGTTGTTGAAAGTAATTTTAAAAATTCAAGTGATTTATTTAGTTTATCCATATTGTTTAATTTATATTCAATTCATTTATTTTAAACACCACATTATTTGATAATCATAACGAATGAATGAATCGTCGACTGAAAAAGCCTAACATCGATTGAATGTTTATAAACACCACTGACATTTCTGTTTCTTTTCATTAATAGATGGCACTACATTACGTCTTTCTAAAACAAGACTGTATAAAGTGAAAACTTTTTCATCAATCGATATTCTTATAACTAAAATATAGTCTTTGCTATACGTTCAATAGGGATATATTTCGATCTTGTAAATACTTAAAGTAAGTCTAAAGACATTATTTTGCGCTAGTGTGGGTGTGGATCGAAGTACTTCATTTATTGACATCCTTCCATCTAGAGTCACACTCTTTGCCACAGCCATCGTCATGCTACTCACCCACAGCCCACACTCACCACATAATATCTACTGACTGTGTGGGAAAAAACTTTTATGACTCCAACAACAATGAGAACAACATGAACAAATTCTTTTTAAGGCAGCGCCTACTACTCATACCGTACCCTGGTTACACCACTATATCATTGACTATTTAACTGTTCCAAAGTAAATGAAAAATCGCTGAGATTAGAACGAGATAGGATCATTCAATATGTTCTACTGATCTTGAGAAAATAAATGTGAATAACAATAAAAAGAAAACGTGAAAAATTATCTCGATATAAATCTGTTAATTACCACCAAAGATAAACTCTATGATTGATAAATTTCATTTGATAATGGTGAAGTAATTTTTCAGATTGAAGATGATGTCTTGTGTCATCTGCATACTCACAATCGTGTCTTTCCTTTGTTGCACATAATTTATATAGGAACTGATACATAATACAACAAAGAGAGAAAAGGTCAGTGCTCGGTAAAGAGATTACACACAGGTAAAGTAAACAGGTGAATAACCGTTACAATAACCGATTAACATTTTGGCTAAAAAGTTAATTGAGTTGTAACTTTCAATTTCATTAACTTTTCAAAATTTTTCAACGAATTTGACTAAGGTAAATG